CAGGATCAGCGGAGCCGCAAGGCCTCACGGCCCCGGATCAGTGGAGCCGCGAGGCCTCACCACCCCCGGGATCAGTAGAGCCAGGAGGCCTCATGGTCCCGGCACCAAGTGGAGCCACGAGGCCTCACGGCCTGGCACCAATCTGAGCCTCGAGGCCTCACACCCCCGGGATCAGCAGAGCCTCCAGGCCTTACCACCCCCGGGGTCAGTGGAGCCGGGAAGCCTGATGGCTGCGGGGGGGCTCTGGCCGGAGCCTAGCCAGAGCGAAGGCCTGGGTCCTGGGTGCCAAAGGAAAACTGGTGCCAGCAGCCAGGGGAAGGGAAGGCCTATTGCACGAATCTCTTCGTGCAACAGGCATCTAGTAGGTATATATTTAGAAGAGCATAAATGGAGTTAAAGCTAAGACAAATGTCATAGCCTTGTTTCATTGTTGGGATTGTGTCACCATACTTATGTGCTCTATTTCTACCTTAGTATTTGTGACCTTCTTGAGTCCTGGTGATAAATGTTTGCTGAATGTTCATGGAACCATTCATCTTCTTACTTTGATTTTTAAGGACATGAGCAGTGTCTTATACAACTTTGACTCCCACAAAGTACCCAGCACAGTGCCTCACACTGAGTAGAATAATAGATTTATCAATGTAAGAAACATCCAAACTTGTAGAGAATTTTTATAAGAATTAATGTGAGTCAAACTGACAACAATTGCCAGGAAGCAAGATATCTAATGATCTGTAGAAAGACAGTTTTGCAATTGCTTTTATGCATCTGAAATTAAGGAGGAAAGTTAAGGAAGATTAAATGAAGATGGGGGAAGGCCAGGTGGGGATTGGATTACAGGCTAGTTAATAAGATTATGGGCTCCTTAGAGGGTAGTTAGGACTTCCAAGAGGTCTGAAAAAGAGGATTACCCTGTCATTTCAAATATATGTTAATGGAGATGCACAATGGACAATGTTCTTGTCTTATCTTTTTGATTTGCCTCTTAAATGACATTTGGCTAAGACAAGAACAATGGACAGGGCTTGCTTAATATAAAAAGAAACCTTTTACTAAAAGTTATACACCAGCAGCATGACCACTCACCACCTGCTCAGTTAGGAATTTTTGATCGGATCACACTGTGAGGTTACTGTCACCGGACTTTTCAGTTTTATTACAGAACCCTTTTTTGTCCACCAATTCATAGAGTGTTTATTAGAGCTAGAAAGAGCCTTAGGAGATTGAAACTCATGGAGGGAAAGTGATGAGCCTAGGTTACATAGGAAGTTGATATACTAGTTTAGGAGCAGGTTTTCAAACTGAGACCTTCATACTTCTAAGTCAGCTGCAGTCACATTTGAATGAATAAACTAAGATATCCTGAATTTTGGACATCCTATATGGGTTGATAGTCTTATTTCAGCAATTCCTCTAATTTCTGATTTACTGCTGCAAATCACACTTTGGTATAATGGTCACAATCCAAGCCCCTGTGCCAGTCATTTCTTAGCATGTTACTACATATGTACTTTTCTTGATGTATAGGCAAAAGATAGTTGACGCTCTATTATAACCTCCCCAGTCAGTCTCAAATACTTAACAATATAAACAAAATTATTCATAAAAATACACACTTTGCCCAGACTGTGTGACTCAGTGGTTGAGCATCGACCTATGAACCAGGAAGTCACAGTTCAATTCCTGATCCAGGCACATGCCTGGGTTGCAGGCTTGATCCCCAGTAGGGGGCGTGCAGGAGGCAGCCAATGAATGATTCTTCCTCATCATTGATGTTTCTATCTCTCCCTCTCACTTCGACTCTGAAATAAATTTAAAAAGTATAAAAAATACACACTTAACAGATCAACCAAAGGACTTGTATACATGCATATACTAGTAAGCATAACCAATGGACACAGACAATAGGGAGATCAGGGCCTGTGCTTGGGGGGCGGGGGTGGGAGCGGGTTGGGAGAGGTCAATGGGGGAAAAGGGAGACATATGTAATTCTTTCAACAATAAAGAATTTTTAAAAATACACACTTAATTTCATTTCATTTAAACAATAATCTTAGCAGATATTAATGACATATTTGTTTGGATCAATATAAGCAGATCTAAATGTAAACAAACAATGCAGTTAGTTTACTTCAGCCCATATGGAATAGTAAGTAAATATCATCCAATTGGCAGTAACACCCAAACTATGAGATTGTGTTCAACCACAATGTTAGTTTCAATGATATGATTATACTGTAATTATGTTAGGCAAACATCCATCTAGAAGAATAAAATTTTAATATTTAATGAAATGTTACTCCAAAGCCCAAATTAGCTAATTGTTTGGGGTCATTTTCCAATTCATGAAAAGTTTATTTTTTTAGATACAATAAAAATTAATTTTAATCATATATTTAACTTCAATTCTGATATCACCCCAGGTTGTGACTTTGAATTGGATTCTCCCCCTGCTTTTTTTAATTCCCTACCTAGTTCAACCTCATATTTTTCTTTTACCTGATCATATCTCACTGACTCCAAGAAAACTTCAAAGAGTGCATGAAAATATCTCACAAAGTCCAGTCCAAGCAAGAGCCCTCGATGTGCAATACCAGAGTACAGGAAGCAAATTCTTTAATTAAAGCCCATGTATAATGTAAACAAATTTCACTGTCTTCTATGTAATAGATATTGGATCCAGGGAATTCATCTTTTAAAAGTATGTTTTTATTGATTTTAGAGAGAGAAGAAGGGAGAAGGAGAGAGAGATAGAAACATCAATGAGAAACATCAGTATTTATCAGCTGCCTCCTGCACGCCCCCCACTGGGGACCGAGCCCACAATCTGGACATATGCCCTGATCAGGAATCAAACCAGGGACCTCCTGGTGCATAGGTGGAAGTTCAACCACTTAGCCACGCTGGCCGGGCCAGGGAATCCATCTTTTGAAGAAAACCATGGGACAAAACGTTCCTTTTATTAAAATTTAAAAATGAACTTACAGATATTCATATACTGCTCTTAATGACATGGAAGGGTTTCATAATAGACATTCATATGAAAAAATCATGGTATAAAACAGTATGTACAATGTAATTATATGTTTAGATCTAGATTTGGTAGATATATCTTAAATGTAGTACCCTTGATATGGTGTGATAAAAATGTCACTTTACTTCTGTGGTTTTTCTCCCCCAAAAATAAAAGCATCAGGTAAATCCCACTAAGGGACATTCTACAAATACCTGACCAGTACTCCTTAAAACTCTTAATGTCATCAAAAACAAAGAAAGTCACGAACTGTCACAGCTAAAAGGACCATAAGGTCTATTCAGCCATAAAGGATGAAATAGTGCCATTTGCAACAACATGGATGGACCTTGAGAACATTATGCTAACTGAAATGTCAGTCAGAAAAAGCTAAGAAGTATATGATTTCACTCATATGTGGGATATAAAACTGAAACTCGTGAACACAAATAGCAGTGTGGTGATTGCTAGAGGGAAGGGGTGAAGAGAGAAGGCTGTCCTAATATAAGGTGACAGAAGATTTGACTTTGGTGCAGTATACAGATCTTGTAACATAGAAACCCACACCTGAAACCTATATGTTCATGTTGACCAATGTCACCCCAATCAACTTAATGTATTTTTAAAAAATAAATGTAATGTGGTAACTAAATATAATGGATGGGATCTTGGAACAGAAAAAGGACATTAGGCAACCGGGCTACTGTAGCTCAGTGATTGAGCACTGACCCATAAACCAAGAGCTCCCTGGTTTGATTCCTGGTCAGGGCACATGCTCGAGTTGTGGGCTCAATCCCCAGTGGGGGGTGTGCAGGAGGCAGCCAATTGAGGTCTCTCTCATTGATGTTTTTATCTCTCTATACCTCTCCCTTCCTCTCTTTCTAAAAAAAAATCGATAAAAATTTTTTTAAAAGAAAAAGAACATTAGGCAAAAACTAAGAAAATTTGAATAAAATTTTCACTCTATTAATAATAATGAATCAATATTGATTCATTAATTATAACAAGTGTAGCATATTGATGTAAGATGTTAACAATAGGGAAATGGGTATGTGTTATAAGGAAACTGTACAATCTTCACAGTTTTTCTGTAATTTAAATGTATTTTAAATAAAAGTTTATTTAAAATATATCTAACTGTGGTTACTTCTGGGTAGTAGAATTTTAAGTGAACTTTGTGTTCTTTCTTTTGAAGTACATAGTTTTCTACAATTAACATGTATTGCTTTAGTAATAAGAAAAAAATAAAATTTGTAAAAGTACATGAATTTCCATTTTATTCACCAAAATAGCATGAAAGAGATTAACCAAAAAACATATATTCATGTATGCATAGCCCATGGAAACAGACAATAATGTGGTGAAGGCCTGGGTGGGAGTGAGGGCTAGTTATACGGTAGCAAAGGGATGGGAAATGGGGGACAGCTGTAATAGTGTCAACAATAAGAAATTAAAATTATATGTATAGATCAGATTTACTTACTGTGCACAGACAAGGTTTCTTTTTTATGTGGATCTGCAAGCCCTAAGTATCCACAGTCCTGTTTGGAAACTTTTACCTTAACCTTAGATGAATCTAAAATCCTGTTCATAGTACAGTCTTTCCTGATCACTCTGAAGTATGCTGAACTTTCCAGGCTATTTGAAAACATTTGGAATCCCCACTTTAACTTGTTGATACCTTTTCCTATGTCAGATGCATTCCCAATTGATGTAATTAATTTTTAGTTAATTAATTAGGGTTAGATAGAGGGAAGAGTAGGGTAAGAGGTGACTTATAATCGACCTATAAATTATGAATAGTGGAACCAAGTTCACACCAAAAAGATCTTTTCCCAATCTTAACATGAAATGCTTATATTTTCTGACACACAAATATGTGCCAAAAAAGATATACTTTTCAAACTAAATTCTCTTTATTTGCATATTTTTAATTTTAGTTTGCAAATTAACATAATAGATAGAGAGGGAGAAAATAAAGGGCTTCTTTCCAATAAGGTACCTGGCACACTGTACGAGATGAGTACAAGTTTCCTTCCTTTTGTTATTAGATCCATGGCTCTTGCATCTTTTACACCACTTACTTGCCCTTGGATGTTCATCTTAAATGTTCAAAAATTCATTCCCATCCTACCTCATGGTTTATAGAGCAAGGCTGGAGGGGCAAGGATGAAAAAGGGATGAACCTCATTTTAACCCATTAATTTTTTTTAGTGCCTCCTAGGTGCTGGGGATACAGGCCTGGCACAGAGCAATGTTCAATAAATATTTGTTGAGTTAATGAACAAGGTTCCTGCCAATGGGGACTTTACACATTAGTGGAGGAGACAAACAAACACACAATTAAAATACAGTGTGGAAGTACAGTGTTGTATGGGATCACAGAGGTGGGACACCTAACCTTTTCTGAAGCACCCAGGAAGGCATTTTGAAAGAGAAGACATCTAAGCTAAACCCCAGGGGATAAAGAGGAGTTAAGTGGGAGAGGTGGTGAGTATAGGATTGGAGGAGTTGGAAAAGTGAAGAGTACAGAAGCAAAACTTCTCATGGTATATGTAAGGAATAATTTAGATATATGGGGTGTTCTGTAGAGCAGTGGTTCTCAACCTTCCTAATGCCGCGACCCTTTAATACAGTTCCTCATGTTGTGGTGACTTCCAATCTCATTGTTACAAATTGAACATAAATAAAGCATAGTGATTAATCACAAAAACAATATGTAATTATATGCTTTCCGATGGTCTTAGGCGACCCCTGTGAAAGGGTCGTTCGACCCCCAAAGGGGTCGCGACCCACAGGTTGAGAACTGCTGCTGTAGAGGATTTATAAATGAAAAAAGTTTTAAAGTCAGTTTTGAACCAAATTAAGGAGATCTTCAAATGTCCAATTGAAGAATGTGTGTTTCATGGAAGCATGAAGCCATTATCACTTATTTTTCAGTAGGACACTGACTGACATGTACAAAGTAGTTTTTCAGAACAATATTCCAGGAGTCTTGGGTTGACCTGGAAGAGACAGTGCTAGAGGTGGAGAGAAGAATAATGAGGCTCTTGCAGTGTGAGGTGATGAGAACCTTAACTAAGATAGTGAAAATCAGAAGAGGTGAAGGCAAATGGATGCAGGAAATGTTCAAGAAGTTGAATCATTAGGACTTCATGGCCTGATCAGTGTAAGGGAGAAATGGAGATGAGCCATAAAATACTCATTAAGTACATGTGCTTCATCAGTTGATTTGACTTGCCATGGTTCTCAAACGTGATCTTGCATCAGAATCCCCTGGTGAGCTTATTACCACATAGATTGCTGCGCCCACCCATTGAGTTTCTGATTCAGTAAGTCTGCCTTGGGATCTGAGACTTTCCATTTCTAACAAGTAATGCTACTGCTATGGTGATAACACTTTGAGAACCACTGGGCTATCTTATCATATCTTTTTCAGCAAACTGGCCATTATGATCATGTTAGTCTTTTCAACAAATTGTACTGGAACAACTCATTCACCACAGGCAGAAGAATGAAATTAGACTTTTGACACACACTATATAAAAATTTACTCAAAATGGGTCAAAGACCTAATTGGAAGAGATAAAACTATAAAACTCTTAGAGGAAAACATAGGTTAAATCTTCATGACCTTGGATTTGGCAGAGCATTCTGGTATGATACCAGAAGTACAAGCAACCAAAGAAAATATAGATAAATTGAACTTAATCAAAATAAAAAACTTTTGCACTTCAAAAGAAACTATCAAAAGAGTAGATAATTTTGTTCATTAGATTCCACATTTCAGGGAAATCATATGATGCTTGTCTTTCTCTGATTGGCTCATTTCACTTGGCATAATGCTCTCCAGGTCCATCCATCCTGTCACAAAGGGTAAATTCTTTTTATGGCTGAGTAGTATTCCATTGTGTAAATGTACCATGGCTTTTTTATCCATTCATTTACTTATGGACACTTGGGTTGTTTCCAAACCTTGGTGAATAAGAAAATAGAGACAGTCTCATAAATAGAAATAAAGCTGAATGCTGTATAGGTTGGGGGGCTGTGTTGTGGGGGTAGAGGGATTGAACAAAAAAGAGAAAAAAAAGAAAAATAACTCATGGACATGGAAAACAGTGTGGTGATTTCCAGGGGGAGGAGGGGCAAGGGAAGGGGGAGGAGGGGATAGGGGGGATGAATGGTGATGGAAGGAGGCTTCACTTGGGGTGGTGAACACACAACACAGTGTGTAGATGATGTATTGTGAAATTCTGCAACTGAAACCTGTATAATTTTGTTAACCCGTGTCACCCAAATAAAGTCAATAAAAAGGAAAAATAAAGAAAGTAGAAAGATAACTTATAGAATAAGGTATCATATTTGCAAATCATATGTCTGTGAAGAAACTTGTATCTGGAATATATAAGGAACTACTAACAACTCAATAATAAAAAGACCAATAATGCAATTTGAAAATGAAAAAAAGTATCTCAATAAACATTTCTACAAAGAAGATATACAAATGACTGATAAGCACATGGAAAGATGCTCAACATCATTAGCCACCAGGGAAATACAAATCAAAATGACAAGATACCATATCATGCCTACTAGGATGGCTGGAATAAAAATGTCAGACAGTGCCCTAGCCGGTTTGGCTCACTGGATAGAGCGTCGGCCTGGGGACTGAAGGGTCCCAGGTTCGATTCCGGTCAAGGGCATGTACCTTGGTTGCAGGCACATCCCCAGTAGGGGGTGTGCAGGAGGCAGCTGATTGATGCTTCTCTCTCATCGATGTTTCTAACTCTCTATCCCTCTCCCTTCCTCTCTGTAAAAAATCAATAAAATATATTTTTTTAAAAATGTCAGACAGTGACAAATGTTGGAGGGGATGAGGAGAAACTAGAACACTTATGCACTGCTCATGAGAATGTAAAATAGCACAGACACTTGGAAAAGAGTCTAGTAGTTTTTAAATAGTTACATCTAGAGTGATCATATGACACAACAATTCTACTCCAATATATACTCAAGAGAAATGAAAATGAAAATATATGTCCACACAAAAACATGAACACAAATGTTTATAGCAGCATTATTTATAATACCAAAAAGGTGGAAATGTGGAAATAATCCAAATGTCCATTAATTTATGAATGGATAAACAAAATGTAGTATATCAACACAAGAATATTATTTGGCCATGAAAAGGAAAGAAGTACTGATATAAATGTTACCACATGGATGAGCCTTGAAAAGATTATGTTAAGTGAAAAAAGCCAGTCACAAAAGATCACTTATTATATGAGTCTATTTATATGAAATGCCCAGAATAGGCAAATCTATAGAGACATAAAGCAGATTAGTGATTGCCTAGGGATGGGGAAAATAGGGGGATAGTAGGGCAGCAGCTAAAGGGTTTCTTTTTGAGGTGATAAAAATGTTCTAAATTCAACTATGGTGATAGCTGTACAACTCTGTGAATATCTATATATCTATATCTCTACCTATATCTATATCTATATATATCTACATTTATCTCTACCTATCTCTATCTCTATCTCTATCTATATCTATATATATATATCTATGTTGTTTGTGGAATACTGTGCAGTAACCAAAAATGTAAATGACTGCCAAACACAACCCCATGGCTGTGAAATGTAACCCCAATGTAAAGTGAAAGCAGGCAAAACAAATGAGAACATACCATATGATGTTATTTACAGAAAGTACACCAAAAGGTTGTGGGTTCAATTCCTGGTTGGGGCATATACCTAGGTTTTGAGTTCAGTCCCTGGTCAGGGTGAGTACAGGAAGCAACTGATTGATGTTTTCCTCTCACATCAATGTTTCTCTCTCCCTCTCTCTTTTTCCCTTCCTCTCTCTAAAATCAATAAACATTACCCTCAGGTAAGGATTTAAAAAAATGTGAGAGGAATGTACAGAGATTTCTCATATACCCCTTGCCCCAACACATGCACAAACCCCCATTATCAACATTCCC